ACTTAGATTTGGCATATTATTTTCCTGTGTGGTTTTCTTCATTTTCGAAACGAATCTGCACTCCTCAAAATATATTATTGAATGTTGAATATGGTTTGTATTAAGTTAACCAAACATGAAAGTTGTGATTATTATCATCAAATAAGAAGTAAACATGGTAGTTGTATAACCTTAGAGGCTTAGTAGAGCGTGATAAGTATAATCAAATTGTAAAAATAATTCTTAAAATAATTAAGTATAATACAACATACATTACACGTACTATAAAGAAAATGCAAATTTTATTACAATTTAAAGCCTTCCACACATCAGCATTCACTTTCATTCTGCATTGCGTCACTTGAGAAGATTTCTACAAAATTTACAGGATGTGTAGAAACGGGAATACAATCACGTATTATTTCAAAACCACGCCTACTTTCGATTACGAAGTTTCGATTGTGAGATACAAATTCTTGAAAACTAAACGAGTGTTAAGTTGGGTCTACAAAACATTTAGGTTTTCAAGGTTGCAAAATTTATACAATTATTTGGTGACCGTTCAGAGAAAAATACTTGTTAATGGTAAAGTTATCCAGGTATTTCATATATCTTAATCTAGGATTCAACATCGTCTTTATTTTAATGGATTGCACTCTATTGTAGTTAACTGTAATGGGGAAAATTCATTATACAAACAATAACACAATAACATTCTATATGTGTTTAGAAATTTTTTTAAAACAGTTTGGTATGATAAATTGAATAAGATCAGAAAATAGCTTTGATTGGAAAGTAGTTCTAAGGTTTGAAAGAAAATAAGTAAAAATAATTAATGTCTTCTTAAAGCCCTTGCCGTTTTCCAGACCATGTAATTAGTAATCCAAGGAAAATTGAATTCCAGTTTTCTGTCAAAGTATTCTAATGAATAAGATAATTTCTGGATTTTTATAAGCCACAAATTATTTATATAAGGTTTCTACGTGAGCAATATACATCGGATGTTATATTATTGTCTTTTCTTTTTTTATGGCGGTTATTTGCAAATTTAAATAGGTATGTTTGATAGATTAGTCTAATTTAGAAGAATTTCAGAACTAATTTTATATAAGTTAGTATTATAAAATTTCAATAATACTATATTTGTGAGGAGTAAGAGATATTTTAACATAAATTTAAAGGAGATAATTTAATTAGATACATAAAAATCTTGTTGCATTGAGTAAAGCAGTTGCTTTAACTTACTATTCAGTTTAAACAACGTACTAGTAAGGTGATAATCTTTTAATCCCAATCATTTAAAATATAATTAAAAAAGATATTTTAAAGTTAGGACTTCTTATCTATTTAAATTAATCTTACTGGATTAATATTTAAATCATCACATAAGTATCCAACAAAAGCTCTGTGAATTAACAAGCATGGAAATATATTCTTGTATATTATTTTTACTTCATTTCGTTTTACTCACAGTTATTAATAAATCTCATAAAATTTGAAAATAGACACGTAAATAATTATATAAGGTAACTGGTGATCGATTTCGATTTACCGATCCCTAAAAACATATTTGGATAAGCAGAGTTCCTGATTGCCATGTTTTTTACTCCATCAGTACACCGTTTATGTATTTTCTATCATACTAGAAGTCTTTCGTAATCTACCAGTAAATTAAGGAAATCTGTATAGTATAGTATATTCTGAATATTTTCCATTGGATTCAGAGTATAAACACACCGGATACAGGGAGGTCATACATCACAGAAGGGCAAATAGAGAACCATAAACCACTGTATGAGATTCATGACTTCCTGGATTCAAATCGCTTTAGTGAATCTGGGCTTTACATTTACATCAGGACACTATGGACGATATGCATATTGAATATTTACTCCATGTTCTGTAGAATAACAAGATTGAGGCGGGTAGTCGTAGGGCTTAAATAATCCGCTCTTCTAAGAAAGACTAAGAAAATGTATATTTTTCCGTCATTGTTTTGTTCAAACAGGCTCATAGTGAAAGGATATCTACCCATGGATCGATGCATGGCAAAAAACAATTCCTAAATGTAATAGTTGATACTACGAGGAACCCAAATCCTTTAGTAGGGGGGTTCTTTTTGCACCCCCTTCCTAATCGAAGATGCCTTTTAACGAGGGCCGACTGTGAGTTTTATTATTTTGAATGGGACTTATAAAGACAAAAACGTATTTTTCACCTCTTGATACGAATTTATCATTTTGTATCTCAAGAGTAATTTCTGTTTTATTCATATTGCACAAAGTATATATGCACTCGTTAATATAACTTAACGACGAAATTACTTTACTGTAAGTACAATAATATTTTAATTTTCTTAATTATTAGAAATATAGTAAGTATATATAATGATATTACAATTTTAAATGATACAATATCTAATGTATGAAATGATTAAGAAATACTGCACCAGGGAAAACTAGTATTTGTGTAACACAGAAAAGAGTTGTTTTACAGATGAAGGAAGATACATGAATTCATTCCTCTCCAACTGTACAGAGTAATTCTATACAGCAATAAAAACAATCATTTTCTACGTAAGCTGAGATTTGTTAGAATAGATTGATTCCATTTATATGGTTTGATAAAAGCAATTTGCTTGAAGGTAAAACAAAGCAATGTTTTTTTTATACTTTATACGACACAGACCCTGGTATTTTTACTAATTAAAGTTGATCTTTTGTATTACAGAATCTTTAATTTATGACCAATGATATTTATTTAAATGACCAATGATATATGGGTGTAGAGACGAAATTGCTTGCATTGAACCAGCAGCCTTCAGCTTTGAAGGCAAGCACTATAACCATGTTATCATTGAAAATTTTAAATAATATGGGTGATAAACCTTAAGTGACCATGTCACTAATGTTTTTAACAATATTAGTTCATCAAAATGGTATTGTTTAAACACATTGGTATAGTTTCGAACGAGCAAAAGCCCTCTTGTTCCTGATTGGACCAACAATTTCCCCAGTTATCCAATATAAAATCCATCTGTGACCACAACGCCCATGTAAACTATCCAGGGAAGCCAGAAAGTGTCAGAGTACTTTCCCAGGCGGAAGTGACACTTGACACTCGATATAACTGACGCTGGTCCGACCTGTTATTAGGTCGAAAGTTCACCACAACGAACCATTTCACCTCCCTCAGTCACCACACGAAATATGACGCTTTGTGTCATTTAAATAGAAATTAAAACGGACGAGCTTGCGTTACGAATGTAGTATAAGGTGTTATTTTGTCATGCTAAAAACCTGTTGTGACGTAGGTTACTTGAAAGTAATAATTTAATGATGGTAGTAAGTATTGTTAGATACAGGCTTTTTTAATTTACCTTTGTCTCAGTTTCTAGAACATAGATGAAATAAAATTCCTCATAATAAAGCAAACCTTAAGAGCAAACCTCTAGTCACTTTAAAATGAAATTTTCTAAAAACAACTTTAAAGAAAAAAGTAAATTTGCATATCTTTTCATATTCGATACAAATTCTAAGGGCTAAATAATAACGATAATCAAGCTGTGGTCAACTACTATGGTGAATATTTTGTTATTTTAAAATTTGGATAAATCTATGCCATATAATAAATAAACTGTAATATATGGAGATATTTTTTATTTAACACTCTGTTTAGAGAAATTAATACATTCTTCTTTGTCACACTAATTTTTCACTCCTTATATTTTAGTAATGGACAAGCGTAGAATGTAGCATTTATAATTTATGCTACTAATGTTACGAAAATTGAATCATTTTCCTCCCACCCAAAGAACTTTGGATTGTGATTTTAAAATAAACCATTTGTACGAACGGTGTTTTTTAAAGGAATCTAAAAAATTAATGGATTTTTGGACAGCTACAACCAAATTTAAACCTAAGTACTGTAACGTTAAATAGATGATTATAAGGTTCATTTTACATAAAAATTGTTATTTACTACGGGAGATACACGAGGATCTATTGTATTTTTCTTAAGTCATTATCAATTTTCATACTTTAAGGTAAAAGTAGCAAATCTCCAAGACAATGAAGGCTTATTGAAAATAGGACAACTCAATCAGTTGTCCATGTATGTAGTCTTTAACTGTTCAAAATATAAACTACCCTTACACATTATATAGGCTACATTTATGCATCATCACTGCATTTATTTATTGCTTTCACACATCAAATGCATAAACTGCGTATCTCACGGCTGGTTAGGTTAGGTTCGCGTGCGACACGCTAGACTACTGTTACAGTCTCTAGTTGAGTGGTTGAGGAGTCTGCCGCTTGGAGCGTGCAATGTCACGCTTACATGGGAATAGCTCTTTAGTATATACCTTGGGTAATAGTTCTCATCTATCACCTCTGTATAGCGAAATTCGTTTTTAAGGTATTTCGTTGTTTGTGTATACAGTATTTAGTTTTAATTATTGTTTGAAATTATTCTGTATACCTTTTTCGGACTAAGAAACACTTAGGAATAAAAGAAATATGTTGATTTGTTTCTTAACATTCACTCTGAATAAATACAAAAATTGTAAAATGATTTTAAGGAATTATTTTTATGTAATATTTTTGATTGGTTCTTTATCAACTAAAAAAGACAGAGGAGAGAAGTAAAAACCTATGCATTATTAGACTGTTCATGATAAACACTTTGTTTAAAATAAATGACAAAGTGTTTTCTGAAACAAAAGAGATTTTTTCGAAATTGTACTTTTTATTTAAAATGCTTTTTCATTAGAATTAAGTTTAAATAATTACAATTTGTTAAACAGTGTTTATTCCTTATTTATGGAACGGTATTATAAAAAAAAAACACAGAATATTTTGGTCAATTACCACCTTTACGTACATTACCTTACAACTAGTAGGGCATACAGCTTAAATATATCTCATATATTGTATGAATAACTTTTTATAAATATAGACCCAAATTGCATATTTTTAAATACCAAAGAGGTTACTATAGGTCCCAAAAATGTCACTTACCGCATCTGTTTCGGGCTGCTTTACATATCCAGGGGGAGGGGTGGCATCTGCGTATATTTGTAAGCATGCGCACACCGCGCATACCTGTGAACAATTATAATAAAAATCAGTTATTATGCTTGTAACAAATTATTCACTTTACATGAAATTTGTAATAGGCTATGTGAAATACGTTATACTAACAATAATAATAGTATACAACAAATTAAATAAAGTAATTAAATCTATTGTAATTTTTAAAATTTTGAAAAAAGAGTAGGCACTGTTTGTTTACTTGAAGGTTTTGCACCTTAATGTAGTTTAATCAAATTAACTTGTAAAATAAATTAAGTTCATTGAAAATATGACTCAATAAAAAAAAAATAACTATGTTGATGAGTTAAAGAATATAAAATAATAAATAGTTTACGATTGTTACAGAATTTACAGGTTTTGTCACAGAACAACAAGCAAATATTTTTATTTTAAATTTGGGATACCACCAAATTAGCGTTTTAATTCCAAAAAGTGAATTCCATATTTAAAACCACAAACCATCGAACATCCCCTGTATTCTTCATCCTGTATATTTTCCATATACATTTTATATAACGTCAAAACAAAGGGAAAATTGAAACGCTTCGTGGAAAACATTACAAAAGGTAATACGACGTTGCTTTGATTGATGTAACGCTATACCTGCATTGGGCATTTATCATAACCAAATATTTCTCCCTCCTTCCCTATTATCCCTCTTAAATTTGTAATTTTTTAATATAATTTATTTGAGCGTAGGCGTAAGTGTATAAACTAATTTTTTTTCAGTATTTAAAATAAATAGGTTTAAAAGAAACAACGATATTTTATCCCTACAGTAGTATAAAATGTTGAAACGTTTAGCTTTGTCCGTTGTTTTTGTTTTAAAAATATATTTACTGTCAAAATGTTTGTAAGGAATCTATTGACCATATCTCTATAAGGCCAATAAAACGCAATTCAATGAAATATTATTGTGTAGCTACATAGAATATTGGACGTTATTTCCTCATATTAAGAAATGAATACAATCTCAGAACGCAAATAAAACTTGTAAATTCACAACATATACGTAACACGGGATGAATTATAAATTAAATGCAGTAGAAACCCTGCTTTATATTACAGCCAAAACTTTCTATTACAATTTGGCTTATTACACAAAACACATTTTTTTGGAAACCAAAAACAACCGGTAAACAACCACAACATCATCTGTAGCGGAAACTCTCATTTAAAAGAGAAATGGCCTTATTGCTTTCTCACAAATGCCATTAAAAGAGCAGCGAGCGCGCGCAGTGAAAGTGACCTTGGACGCATGGCCAAGGTCAGGGAAGGTCAGTCAAGGTCACAAGGTGACTCTGAGTGTCCGCTGGAGCGCGGTCGCAGCTGACCACTGGGGAAAGTCATCTGTTATCTTAGATTGCGCAGCAAGCCCGCCAAATTGGTGAGAGCAGAGCGGAAGTTTGTAGTTTATATCCTCCGGACTACCTTGTGGCAGTCAACCGTTTAATACTTCCTATTCGTAAAATTCCGAATCTTAAATGGCTATTTGACGTAAATTTTTTTGGTTTCTCTTTTAAAATGTGTATTAGCAACTATTTCTTAATTAATCAATTTAAATCAGCAGCGATAACAAATTACAATGATATGAAGAAGACACATACAGGGTGAATGAGACCACCCGTGCACAACCGTTTGGCTCAACAAGCGTTAAAAAGCAATCTTTTTTATAAACAAATCTGCCATTTAAAAATTTATTTGTGCTTTGCAATTTTTAAATTTCACTTTAGGCACTTTTCTTTCAATGTTTGGATCATTAAAAGTACAAATATATGTCCGAAAAGTAATTTTAAAAACTAACAACACGTCGAAAATCCAAGACACTTTACAAATTATAGGAGTAGGGTGCTTTTTGATGGTGAAGGAGTGCGATTTTCGAAAAACTGCTAATAAAATAGTATCTGGTAGAAAATTTAATTCCTGACCATAAAAATCCTTTCAAATCATTGCCTGCTATTACAGTTTTTGAGCTATAGCCGTTTAAAACAAACGTGTTGTTTTCCCAAAAATGGGTATTTAAGGAACTTTTGGTGGGTTGTAATCAGATTTTTTTAATTTCTGGGTGGTTTGGGACCAAGACGGACCTTAAAAAATGGCATATTCTAGACGTGTGTAAACATTTGTATACCTGATCAGGGAGTCAGTGAGTTACACATGCGGCTGTTCGTCCCGTTAAAGTATGTGCATCGTGCAAGGGTGTTCTAATTCACCCTGTATATGATGAGGGTTGACTACGTTTGTCAATTTAAAAGACACAAGTTTAAAATTCGTGAGAAAAAAATGATTTATAGTCGATTTCTGAAATTCTCTTTGTTATTATTTTATTTTTTTGTAGTACATAAAAAGGAAAGTGACATTGCTAGGTTATCTAGTTTTGTTATTTTATACCTTTATGTATCTATAAGCATAATCTTGTATCACCGTTCAAATGTCCTAGCTTAAAACAACACATGTGACAGTAAAACACATAACATAATTATGTTGCATTGGAAGGTAATCCCTCTAAAGTTGGGTTGGTTAAAATTTTAAATGCCGGGTTTCTTAGTCTTAGATGAGCCGTATTTTTAGTAAAATAATAAATAAGATTCCAATGAATCAAGAATAAGTAGTTTCAACATGCAAATAAAATGTTAACCGTATACACAAAATGTGTGCCACTAAAAGGGCGAATTATACTTTAGTTTAGGAGACCCAATTTTACTGAGTGAACCACAATTCTTCTGTAATAAATTATTCTCCAAATGTTGGTATATCTGTCTCCTTTATCCCACATTGTTCTCTTGTAGTTATAGATGAGTGATGTATATTTTTTTATTTTGTTAATCGAAATGGATAACTTTCTAATTGGTTTATTGTAGATACAGTTAGATTTAATCTTCTTTACAAAGTTTAATGCGTTTTATGTTAACTATGATTGTAGATTTCAATGTTTCATAATTTCATATATTAGCCTAATAACCTAATAAAATAAACATTATAAGGTAACCATAAAAAATGAACTTATTGAGTTATTTCCTGAATTTTGGTGCTACTTACTCTTGTACGCTATGAGTTAATGATGATAATTTTCTTAAACATTGTGCTATTATAATAAAATTCGGATCAAACGTGTAAACTAGAATGATTATATTTGCAATAATTCGTTTATATTTTTGAATATATCGAATCATACGTAGGGATTTTATAAGTAGGTAACTTGTACCAAAAGAAGCTTCTTCTTAAATATACGAAGAACTTTAATACACTACATGGTTGACGGTGACAATTATGAACAAACATATTTTAAATTTGTTAACCAGACTTAAACACAACCTGGTAAAGTTCTGTCACACAAAAGTTCTATAAACCTGCTCCGGAGTTTCAAAGAGAATTTAAACAATAGTTAATATCAAAAGAGAATACTTAAAAAGGAAGTAGAAGCTTAAATACCAACCTATTGTTACTCGCCCAAAGGAATAAGAGACATCAGAATATGTTATGAATGTGTTGAAAGACAATCCTTGACTTTTTGAATACTGAACTCTTTGAATTAAACAGCATAAGTCAGCACAGTAATGTGTTAATATACAGTGAAAAGATACCATTTTGACAGTATTTTGGTGGGACAATAACAATTAAAAAATAAAATTCAAAAAAAAATACAAAATCACTCAAATATGTATTTTATGTCGATAAGGTTTTTTTGTTATATGCAAGTGAATGTTTTCCACACGTTGAAATTGCTAGTATCAATATATTTTTAAACACATATCTTAAGATTACAGGACTAGGCTTTGTTTCAAGTAAATAATGGTAAGTTGTTAAACAACTCATCGTGTTTTGCCCTGGTAATGATTCTTCATTAGTGTAGTGTTTCATGCATAAATGCAGTGTATAGAAATTGTGGATAAAATGTTATTATCATAGTATATCGACAAATTTATAGTTAAAAAAGAGATTTGATTAGTATAAATAAAATTTAAAAACCAAAAGTTGAACTGGTTAATTGGAAATACAGTTATAAAAGGAATATAACTTCTGAAGCTTAACTAATACAATTTGTAATCATGAATGAATCCTTTCAATTTTAAATATTACAGTTTCTTTAGTAACAACAATATTATTTGTGATTTAGGTTTGACGTTTATTAATGGAATTTCTATAACTATAATAACTTTATAACCTAATAACTTTTATAACTTTAGGTATGACGAACAGTCGACATTACTTAAATATTTAAAAACGAGATTTTGTTCTTCTTTATGACCTCTTGTCTAAACTTGAATATTTTAAAATTGATCTGAACATATTTATCAATAGTTTTACATAATACAGTCATTGGCACTGTTATGTTAAATATAATATTATACATTACACTGACTCACTTAAAGCACACATTAGTGTTCTTATGTGTTGCAACAGTGCATTAAGAGTCCTTGGAGCCTAGATGTTCTAACTCATAAAACAATTAAAGAACTACAATGAACATTTCTAATCCCACGGTATACTAGATATTTCAATTATAATCCCTCTGGTGATTGGAAAAATATTTTTGGACAATAAATAACTCTTCAGCAGCTCTTTTAAATTGTCCAAGATGGCTGCTAGCCTCCAAGGACTCTTGATCCAAAATTTAATAGTTGATTAAATATCAGCGAAATAAAAAGCGTACCCCACATTTTTACGAATATTTTATATTTCATTTTAAAGCTATCAACATGCTGTGCTGCATGTAAAAACACTTTGGTAAGTGTTAACAAATGGACGTGCGATGTAATAATAAAATTTCCTAACTATTCCAATGGAAATAAACTGATAAAATAATTTTGAAAGCTAAAAATGGAAACACAGTATAGTCAAGAGCTCAAAGAATATTTTAGACCGGGGATGTACAGACTCTTTATTCAGAGAGGAATTTCTAAAAGTTGTATTTCTGATCTCATTAATGGTTTTTCACACACTAGAAACATTTGAGGCATTTATGTAATAGGCTTCCTTCTCATTTTCTCCAACTAAAACATTTAGCC